CAACTCATTAATTGCGAGAAGCAGCTTGAAAAATACACGTTGCTTTGTGTTTTGCTGGTGAAATTAATAGCGGAAGCTTATCTGCCATTTTACGGACAAAGTAAAGATTAATTGCCGTCAAACTGCGTTTGCTGGAACATGCGTGCGCACTTAAGAACAATTTTATTACATGTCATTTCGAGCCGAATGCACAGCAGCAAGTCTCTGAATAAGTCTTGCATCTCTGCTTTTGTGACCCTGTTTGTTCTTACAATTCGAGTTAGTTTGCCCTCCTGGATTATTGCGGCGCCGGTCAATTTGGAGCGGTGAACGCAAAATCCGGTTCAAATTTGCATAATTGTCAAGAAATTATACAAAAGGAGGGGGGAAGCAAACCAGCACTCATATTAGGCTTATTTGCTTTGAATCTCTTTTAATCAGAATTTCTTTTGTGATTATGCGATGCGTTGAAATCACAGCCGCACCAAAAATTATGTACATTTTAAATTACCTCTAAAATAGGTTTAATTTGATTTTGGACATAAATTTATACAGTTTCATGAGAACTTATTGGCATTTTCCCTGAACGCAAATATAATAAAATTTTATTGTAAATATAAACATTTACAATATTATTAATTTTCAAATAAAAGAAGTAAAACAGGAAAAGAGTCAAAATTTGTGTGTACTTCAATTACAAGGGAAATCAATTCGCCTCTACGCATTTCAATCTAAAGAGACCGTGGGCGTTTGCTGGGTTTTGGGCGCAATGACCATCGCCATACATCAGCATTTTAAACACTTTATGGCCGTTGCAAAAAACGGGTCGCGCGGGGTGAAAAATGAAAGTGAGAGGAGTTTGCAGTGGTCGTGTGTTTTATTCATTCATCGCAGATAGGGTTTTGTGCTAGTGACGTGTCTCATGGCGGCCGCAGATTTGACACTTTTATGAATGCGACCTGCCCCGATTTATGTTGTTTACCCTGCGCGGCTTTTATTAAAATTTACCTGATTGTGTGTCCGGCGCACGTTTTGCGCTTGAATAGCGAAGCCCGCGCCATCAAAATTTCACAGTGCTTTTCCGCTTTAATGGCTCCGCATGAATTAGTGATGGATGAGCCTCCGCTTTTGTTTGGACATCGTAATGATGAAATGACACACGGGCAAAAATTTTAAAACTCAATGCAATGTGAAAGTTCAGTTTAAATAAAACATCAATGACCATTCCAAATATAGAGCGGATATTTCTTGTTCAAAATTAATATCTCAGAATTTTTTTTTTTTAATTTTTATATATTAAATTATATATTTCTGATTTAATTGGTATTGACGACAACTAAAACGGCATTCTTCAGAGCCACTATAATCTACTTTATTTAGTTCCAATTTCATTAAATGTGGGTCAATGTGGGTGTTGAATAGAACAATTTTGATGTCTCTATATACTTTCAAAATGAATATAATCTATCCACGTGTTAAAAATTATAGTTAATGGATTTCTTTTGTTTTCATTGCAATTTAAATAACCTTCATTTGGGGTTTCCATTATCCATAAATAATGCCATAATAAATTAATAAACTTTGTGAGGCCAACGAAATTAGCCTAAATTTTTTGTTGCAAAATAAGTGTTTTTATAAAATATTGATTGTGACAAGCTTAAGTGAAATGAGAAGATTTTAGCTTAAAGATTTTATTTCTCTATTTTTGATATTAGCTGAAAACTATGCGTAGTTTTGTTGGAAATAATTACAATGAAATAAATAACAATTGCCTGCAACGGCACTGTGGTTTGAGTGTGGTTTTGGGTTTTGCATAATACTGTGTGGTTCCCATGTACCGGTTCTTTGCTTGCATCGCCCGTATTTGAATTGCAAAATAAATCCGCACATAAAGGCGAGAGAAAAATATTTGTTATATTTTTTCATAATTTTTATTTTTAATTGGAAAAATTTGATTGAAACCGTTTTAGTCGAAAGGGAAAAAAAATTATTTTTTCTTTACCAGGAATTTTTCCCATCTCGCTGCACTTATAAAATTTAACCTCATTAAACCTCACCGCTTCTCATAATAGTGCGTTTTTCGTTACAATTAACGAGCACAGAAGTTGGCTGAGCGCATCGGGCTCAATGCAAGTGCGCTGACAGCCTCTTGACGTTGCTGTTGTGCTGCTATATTTAAGATGGAACGTGTATTCACTAAGAAAAACTCGCATGAGGTTATAATTTACAAATCCTGCGCCTTTATTCATGTTTTTAATAAAAATATGGGTCGTTAAATGCGCGAGTAATTAAAATGCAAAAAACGTCCACTTCAGAGGTTACTTTTTGTTTCAAATTTCTATCAGAGATTCATATCCTCATCCAAATGCATTTTTTAATTAAAAATGTGACCCAATTTTTAGATGGTTGCGACAAGTGTCTTACATTCATATTTATAAAAACAAAATAACCTCTGAAGTGGATTTTTTTACATTTTAATTGCTCACGCATTTACCGACCCATATTTTTATTAAAAACATGGAAAAAAAGGCGCAGGTTTTTCAAATTATCACCTCAAGCGGGTTTTTGTTAGTCAGGAACAGCAGCAGCACCGTCAAGAGGCACTCAGCGCACTTGCATCGAGCCCAACGCGCTTAGCCAGCTTCTGTGCTCGTTCTATGGAATACCGAATAACGCAATGTACAAGAAGCGTGTGGCTTTAATTAAGTTTAATTAGTGCAGCGAGATGGAAAAATTCCAGGTAAAGACATTGATTTTTTTAGTTTTTCCTTTTGTCTTAAAAAGTTTCAATCTAATTTTTCCAAATAATAAATAAATAAGTAAATAAAACATAAAAATATTATTCTCTCATCCTCATGGATTTATTTACAATTCATTACTTATTTTGCGGATTGATTTTGCAATTCAATATAGAAAAGACTTCCCCAAGACTTGAAAAAAATACACAAATTAGTGCACTTGTGAAAACAACTGCTTAATATTGCATAAATAAATTTGTCATGTATTTTTCTTCTTAATTTAAATAAATAGAATATTGAAGTCGACAGTTGAGATGCAAATGATGCAATATAGAAAAATATTAATTTTCTTATATATGGATTCATCATAGAAACGATATTTTAATCCGAACTCGCAGCAATCTTTAGTTAATTCTTTTTGTCACAAGTTTCTCCAGCATCCTTCGAGTTCCAGCGCAATGCCTTTTAATGGCTCGCGTTGAAGGATGCAAATCACAGCGAATTGCGTCTCGCGGCGCCGAAGCTGATGAGAAAAGTTTTATTCCAGGTGTGCGCGTGTCGGCCGAGTCGTCGTCGGCAAAATGCTCTTGCATTCGCGCGACGGATTATTATCTTTCTTGCCAGCTGGCAGAGTTTGCCAACTTTTGCAAGGTGCCGCGCCGTTTTTCAATATCCCGCAGTGTTCCGAGAGAGGATTAAAAGGCTGCAGGGAAAAAAAGAGCGATGAAAGTACATTTCAACAGCCAGTCAGTTTTTTTTAATCCAAACAGACTTTTCTATCGGAAATCGTTCTGCTAGTAAATGTACCAAAATAGAAAAGGGTTTGACTATGCAAATTAAACTCTCAACACGTCAGTAAAAAAATCATGATAGAGATCAGAAGTTTTGTTTAGTCCTGATTTGCCCTCAAAATCAATGTAAAAAATTGAATTTAAAATTTAAGAGGAAATCTTTATAATTATTTCTGACAAGGCCGAAAGGATATTTTGAGAATCAGTAATTCACCGGTAATAAAAAGGAATTGAGAATTGGGTTGGAATTTGGAAATTGCAGGGTTCAATTAAATATTATTTGAAGAAGATTTTTGCATGATTTTCATGACGGGCAAATATTAGAAAATTTGATAAAATCAGAGATTTTTAAATCTACACTACTGGAATCATTTCCTGTTTTTTTTTTCGATCAAGTTTCTCAAAAAATTAATTCCAATTAAAGTTGTCACATCATAGATTTTTTACTCCGTGTTTTTTCCCAACGATTTAAACACCCACGAGTTCTTTGCAAGTGTCCACACACTTTATTGGAAAGTTAATTAAGAATTAAAACACGCCGACGACAGAGCGCGCCCAGCGTGCTTGGAGAAAAATGCAGCAGCACCGGTTTATTAATGAGGCAATAGAGGCGAATAATCGATCAGTCTGTCAAAAGTCTGATAGCATTATTTATTTCGGCCGTTGTAATTAGGTGCTCAGGCGAGCAATGAAGAGATTTCAGGTGGACGCCGAAGGGTCAATCACGACCTGGCTGGCCGCGCACGGTCGTGCTGCGCGCTCCTTTAACGAGCACCGTGGATTATTTTTCTCAAAGAGCACTCGCGGTAAATAAACAAATAAATGGACGTGTACGGAGGGCAAGCAGGCAGTACGTATAATTGATTGTTTTCGCTCAGTCACGACCGTCGCGAAAGTATCCGAGCGCGCGGTCTTTTTGATATTCGCGGTTATTTATGGCCCGCGCGCCGCGATCCGCTACTCCGCGATTGTCATTTAAAAAATATGTGTATAAGCAAACATGTCAGGTGATCATTTATTTGCGGCGGAATTTCATCTCCTGCTCATAAGTGTGTTTAACTTTCAGCAATATTTTTTTTTAAAGCCTGGAAACGAGTTTTTTGTGGTTCATCATTAAAAAAGTAGTAATCTTTTTGATGAATAAGTAAACTAAGTAGGGTGTATGACCAAATTATGTTGTTTAAAGACCGAAATTTCAAGATTTATTTCCTATGACCTTTTTTAATGAAAAAAGAAATTGCAGATCTCCTTTTAAAAAAGATAAGAGACAATTTAAATCATTATTTATTCATAAAATGTTTTTAAAAATGAATTTTAATTTTTGAAAGAGTCAGAAACATTTGTTTAAAACAATAAAGAAATTTTAATTGTTCTTGATGTTTTTTAATGAATTTGAACAATTCTTTTATGAATTGGAAGCTCAAATTAATGAAATTTGTATAACTTTTTTCAACCAGCACTTCTTACCACAAATCCTTTTGTAAATTTACAGCAACAACAAACGCATTTTATTATTTCGTAACCGCGTGACTATCACGAGACAACCGACCAAATAACTCAGTTGAAACAAACATGTCGCTCAGAACGCCAGCCTTAATATTGTTAGTCTTGCTATCTGCCTTTGCATTTGGCTGTAAGTGAATCAAGTTTTATTCGGAAAAATCACTTAATTTTCTTCACCTTTAGCTCGTGTCACGCAGGAGAAGTTACCAAGGGATCAACTTTTCAAATATGGTAAAAATTAGTGTGAATTTTGTAGAGCATTTAACTTTAATTTATTTTCTTTATAAGCCGATTTTTTGTGCAGCACATAATACTTAATTTTATTCCACGTTTCAATTGTAAACCTAAAAAAATTGGGGGTTTTCATCTGAAGAACTAGAATGCAGCGCTCCCGCTGTTGAACGAGCCACATTATTCTCGGAGTGCGTTCCTTACAATGAGCAGAAAAGTTGGCCGTCGCATTGGGCTCGATGCAAGTGCGCCAAGTGCGTTAACAACCTCTCGACTGTGCTTTTGTGCGGCCAAGATGGAATGTGGTACCGACATCCTGACGAAACAAAACCACCGTGCGGTGAGATTTTCAAAACTCTGAGCTTTTTCCTAATGAAAAATGAATTAAAAAAATATTCCTGATTACACTTCCTCATTAAAATATACATTTTAATTATACTCGTGACCCAATTTTTATAGATGATTGCGAAAAATGTCTTACATTCATAATCAGAGAAGGCTACGACTGCCCCGAGAAATGGGAAAAAGGGGACACAAATCAGTGCACTTGCAAACACGACTGCTTGACCTACGAGGTCACGTGCACCTGCAATCTATTCTGGTCGTATTCGATGAGGAAAACCACCACTGGCTTTGCAGATTGCAATAGTAATTACAAATTTGCGCGAAAGAAAAATATTTACCTCTCTTTTGCAGGTCGATCGAAAACAATTTTACTGGACAAAGATGAAATTCAAAGGTACGTTTTCCGAGACGGTATTGCCACAGTTGAGTGCAAGGACGGGTACAAAATAGAAGGAGCAGAAAATGTTTTTGATTGCAAGGAAGGAAAACTGAACGGCACCCTTCCTCGCTGCATTAAACTATAAAGGGTTAAATGATACAGCTAAAATGAAGAAATAAAAAATAAATAAATAAATACATCTTACAGCCTGCTCGGGTTTTTATTTTTTTATTTAAACGCAAAGGCTTACCCCCATCAATTTCAATAAACCCTTTTCAACTGTGAATAAAATGCGCGGGGACAATACGGATAATTAAGCGCGCAACAGACGAATGCACGGAGCGATATTGATGATGCTGCTTGATTGAAGGAGATATCCCTCCATTTAATGGAACTATTGACATGTCATCCTTCTTCTGACTGCGCGTCTCCTAATGAGTTGTAAAGGAAGCTCGAATAAAAAAAAAATAAACAGACGTGGGATGACATTGTGTCAATCGTTCAAATGCTTAAAGATTCAGAGTTTTATTTTGTTAAAATTTAATAATAAATATTATTATAAAATTCACTATTTCTTTTTTTTTCGAGCGATTTTAATCATTTTTTTATTGTCTAATTCCGTTTTTTACCTCCTTTTTGAGTAATAATTTGGAGAATCACTGTTGTTTTAATTGAAGGCTTTAATTTAGAAAAGAAATCAAAAGAAACCCAACACTAAAAAATTTGTTATTTATAATTTAAAATGTGTACAAATTTTGAGTGATGCGTTAAAATAAATTTACATGAAGATGTGGATTGAAGTTTTTTTGGAGGTGTTAATTGAATTAAAAAATTAGCGAAATAAATCAGATCAATCAAAATATTAAAAAGATTAGTTGAATCGTCAATATTGAATATAAGGTGAGAGAAATAATTATTATTGCAAATAAATTTATAATATCTCTCTTCGTTGCGTCAAAAATGAAATTGAATTCCAATCTTGGGTCGTTTGAAGATATCAAAAGGGGAAGCAAGTTGGAAATTTCCTCCTCTGTGGTCACCTCACTTGAATTGTCGGCTTTCGCTACACGAAGAGACGCATACAAATAAACAAGCTGCTCGGTCGGAGAAAGGTCTTGAGTGGAGCCGGAGATATTAGAAAAGCAAAAGGACGGACGCGAGTGAGAGGAATCCTCTTTTTGTGCGCGGCAATATCTTCTTCGGCCGCCACTCGAGCTGCTCCAGCAGAATTATGGAGTGCGAATGGACGCGAAATTCATTACACGCGTCTGACCCCAAGGCTCCTCGAACGCTAACAGCAGCTTCGACCCTCTTATGGTGAAAGGAGCGGCGGCTCCAAATTGGTTTTCGCAGAATGCCGTTCGCAGACGGTATGGCTTTCGATTCAACTTCCTTCTGTTCTCGCCAGAAGTGCACCAATATTTTATATAAATTTATTTATATTTAACTCGTTTTGCAGGTAAAAAAAAATAAATAAAAATGATGATTTTAGGTACAAATTAATTTTTTAATAAGTTCAACGTTTGACGATGTTCACAGCAATTCAATAAAAACTAAAAATTATTCTCGTCAGACTTAATAAAACACCAAAATTTACCCCAAAGCTCGAAAAAAAAAGGTCTTTATCATCTCCGTTTTTTAACCTCTTTATTTTTTATTTTTGAGAATAAGAATTAATTTCTAGATACCTTTCAAACCGTAAAATGAGAAAGTTGCCAAAAAAACATGCATTCAGAACCTTATCGTATAATTTGCCTCCTGAATTAATACATGATTGAACAATTATTAATAAATTTATTTTAAATTGTCCACAACACATGTCATTTTTTTTTAATTAACCTGATTTTCAAATTTTTCACATACAATCTTGCTTCCCTTGCTTTTATTAATTCAGCGGTATGCAATAATATATCATGAATCACATAATCTGATTATAGTTGAAATTTAATTTTGCTAAATACCAATAAAAAATTATTAATTGTGACTCCGATATTGATTTCTACTGCAAAAGAAATTGGTGAGAAAAAGAAAGGTATTTTTATGTCAAAATCTTTAAAAAAAAAAATCCTGGATTAGGATCAAATCTGATCTTATAATCATATTAATTAGTCACTATTTATTCTTAATTAATTTTGAATTAAGCTGCTTTATTTTGACAAATTCATGATTGATTGGCCGACGACATTTTGGTCTTTGACGAAAACAAGGTGCTTGGCCCTCCCATCGAACGGCGCGGATTGATAAATGGAGAACGCAACTTACATATTAGACGACAGCTAGCTCTGCTGGAGATTTTGGATCAGCACTTAACTCGGGCGTGTCCACCTGCGCGCACTATTTAGCAGCTCGCATACATCAAACGGGTAATAAAGGTTTTCCTTCAAAAGAACCGCATTCCTCTCTCAAATTGTGAGCGTGTGTGTTTCTCGAGATGATATCAGCGCACTCCATTTCGGCGACAATTGCTTACGTTCATACATAGGCGACACAGAGCTGACGTGAGGTCTACTTTTTACGATAGCGACTTTGTAAGAAATCGTCTGCTAGCTTTTGGCGTTCAAAGGATGTCAAAAGTAAAGTTTTGCAAAGTACACCAAAGTATTATAGATAATTATCAAAGTTGGAGTATAACCGCGTTAAAAAAAATATTAGGAAGATTCATTCACAAATTTATTCAAAACAATTAAAATAAGGTACTTGCATTTAGTGTTTATTTCAGGACTTTTGTGTGCAATTACATACCCAAGGTCATCAATGATTAGAATAAATTTAATAATTAAATCAATTTTTCCAATTCAGTTTTAAAAGATAGATATACTGATAAATTGTAAATCAAACTTAAATTTAACGAATTTTAATTACATGCAAATTTCATATTAAGCTTGTACAAAATCAAATTGTATGTTTGAATTTATTAGTCCTAATAAAAAATTTTAAATTAGTAAATAGTTTTATTTTGTTATAAATCTCAGTTTCTTAGTTTAAAATCTTATACCATTTTATAGTTGCTTGTGCTACTTTCATTATAAAATTTCCCTCTGCAATTAAAGTTTCATTCCATGTATGCTTTTATGGTGAGAGGAATATTAAAATAATTAGGGTAAAAATGTGCTAAAGTCGTATATGAACATATAAATATCTTAATGCATGCCTAATATGTAGACATTTCTGCACTAATTAAAACTCGTTAGCTCGTCGACTCTTCATTAATTTAATTCTAAAGAACTGCAGTGCAGCACTCTTAGGTTAAGAGTGCGTTCCTTTTTCAACGAGCAAAAAAGTTAACCGTCCCACATCGGGCTTGATGCAAGTGCATTAAGTGTGATTTTGTGCGGCCAAGATGGAACCAACATCCTTATATGAAACAAAACCACCGTGCGGTGATAATTTGAAAAGCTCAAGCATCTATCTTGTTCTCCCAATTAAAAAATATGGGTCGCTCACGAGTGCGAGCATTTTAATTAAAAATGCAAAAATAACCTCTGCAGAGATATTATTTTCTTTCTGTTCATTTCTGAATATTTTCTTGTAAAAATGCATTTTTTCATTAAATACGCGACGCAATTTTTAAAAGATTGCGACAAGTGTCTTACATTCATAATCAGGTAATGAGATTCAATGGTAAGTAACCCATTTTCTGAGGTGGAATTGGCATCTTTAAGTGCAAGGACGGGAACAAAATACAAGGGGCCTTGGAAATTATTTCTGCACAAATTAAATAAACCTCGTTAGCTCGTCGACACTTCATGCAGCGCTCCCGTTTTGGTTAAGAATGGACCGTCTTTTCAGAGCGTGTTCCTTTCAACCAGCAAAATAAAGTTTTCATGCTCAGGTCACGCATTGGGCTTGATGCAAGTGTGTCAACGTCCTTTCAAAAGTTATGTTTTGCGCGACATCCTGACGAAAAAAAACTTTTTGCGTTGAGAATATGAGTTGAATTCATCTTGGAGCTTTCTCGGGATATTTATTTAAACGCAATCAATTGTAATAAACTCTTCTCAACTTTGAATAAGATGCGCGGAGAAAACACCGGATAATTAAGCGCGCAACTTAAATTAAAATAAAATTACCCAGAAGTCAATAAAATTTTCGGATAAGAAGTGAATTTGAAAAAATAAGGCTCATGAAAATTGGGACTTTACTTTATTTCACTGCTCATTTAATGCCCCACTGCGATTCAACAAGTCTGATGGAATGAAAAAAACAAATCAGTGGAAGAGGCATCCGGCTGGGCTGAATACGTTTGAATTTAACTTTGACGCGCACATGCCAAGCTGCATCAACCCTTTCGTTTAATGAACAAAAATCTTTCTTGTCAATCACGCAGCGAACGCGCTGATCCGTGTGCACCTGACAGCACCTTTTCCGCTGTGCTTTTCCGCTCCAGCAAAATTAATTAATAAAATAATGGCAATTATAAAAATATATTTTTGGGAAGAATATTTATATTTACAGTTAATAGTCCAGTTTCGGGACTATTTTCTAAGCATTTAAATATTTTATTTTCGTTGATTTTCCAAATACCGCCCATCAATGATATAGAATAGTGCTATTTTTAGCCATAAAAATTTTAATGAAATTATAGAAATCAAGTCAATAATGTTTCCCTCAAAATCAGTCGAATTTTAAAAGTGTTAAAAATTCATTTTAGGGAGAGGACAAGATTCGAGAAAGTTCTGTGATATAATCAATTTTTTACAATACTAAGTAAGTGAAAATTCAGACGAAAGAAAATTAATTGCGTGCTCATTGCAAAAGTTGTGCAATTTCTCTAAAAGGGTTTAATCAGAAAGTCTTCTGCACAAAAGCCATGAAAATGGCGTAAAATTAATCTCCTTTTCTTTGTGCAGCAGAAATCTGATTCTAGTGGTACAGCTTAGGAAAGGAAATTATGCTTGAAAACCACAGAAAAATGAGTTTAAAAAATAATAATGATTCTCAAATAATTCCCTCATTAAATTAAGTATATTCTCATTTCGAATATCAATAAAAACTGTTTTGCTCACATTTTTATGTTACTTCAAAATATTTAATTGCAGTATGTTGGAGAAAGACGGATTACTAAATTTGCATTACTGTATTTATAATTTAAATAAAAAATAATATTAAATTGTAATTTTTATTATATTAACGTAAAAAACATCATATTAAAATTGTAAATGACAATAAAATGTTCATTGTAAAAATATTTTGCAGTTTTGTTAAGCTTTTTATAACAAATGCTTCTCGTAGAAAAAGAATAAATTTGACATTTGATTGCATCTGTAATTCTTTCAAGACGAAATCAATAAGCTAAATGCTTTTGCGCATAGTTAATA